GTTTTCTGATTTGATTAGTCCATCATCAACTGACTGGATGCGCTGAATTATCAGATTGTGACGTGAGTATAAGCCAATAACGTTTGGGACCATATCATTTCAATCTTTCGCCTCTGTTTTGTTTCATACTTCTACTCAATTTCCACTATATCCACATTTTGATCTTTTGCCCTATTTATTTTTATATACCGAGTATATTTCAGTACGGAGTATTAGAATAGAATATAAATATCATTAGTATTGTTATTGTTGTTAGGTTAATCTAAAACATACAGATTCAAGATGTAATTTTTATGTAGTTTTTTCTTATAGGTAGATACTGATATAAATAGTCAAAATTCTCGGTTATTTACTTAATTTCTCTATTAATAGTATCTTAAAATGTACTCGTACTTCATTATATACAATCCATATGTTTAATTAAATACAATCCATATGTTTAATTAAGGTTTATTTTAGGTTCTTATTAATGGGTCTACATATTAAGTACGTACTCTTAGTTTGATATAACTAAAAGAAGAAAGAAGAGAATGATTACACCTTTATAGAAACATATCAAAACGCATTACACTTATAACAAAGTTAAGAGTCCCAATACATGGGATGATTAGCCAAGCTTTCGAGGATGTTAACCATGATGCCAAGTACAATTAAAGCATTTGTACTCATATACAAAAGTGCCACAAAGCATGATATTTTATGATTTATTTAAGATAATGTTTAATTAGGTTAAAACACATAATTTTCTATCATGAGTGTCAATTAGTTAAATTTTAAGCTTTTTGAATAATAAACGTAAACAAGTGTACAAGTTTACGCTAATAGTGTTGTTAATCCTTCAAACAAAAAAAAAATATGTAAGATTAGACATAAAACTATTCACATATATATGTCACTAAAGGGTTTAGTACAACATATAGCGTCTTATTATGGAGAAAAGTGAACATACACTTATATGCGTCCAAAAATAATAATAAATAGTTAACATCAAGCATAGTAATATCATTGTACATTAAAAACCATTAATATGAAGAGGATTGGCACAAAAAAAGGAGCAACTTGATCTTCCAACATTTTGATTAGTTAATTTATCTTTGATATTTATGATTAAGACTTAATAGGGGTGTAGACTCACTTAACCAAATATTAATAATAAAAAAAAATATGATGAAAAGGATGGGTGATTTGAAGGAGAAAATTCTTTATTCAAATTGTATTAAAATCGACCACAAAAAAATCATCTTGAATTTTCTACATTTAGTTGTTGATTGGCATGATTACCAAATTTGGAAATGTAAATATTATAAAATGTGATATTATTTTCCTAGTAGCATAATCATGAGTAAGTAAGGCTATAAACATTCTGAAAAAAGCAGAAGATTTAAGGCAGATATAAACATAGGCTAGATTTGAGTTATGCATGGATTTGGAAGAAGGGATCTTGAATATTTGATGTATACATGCAATGCATGATGGTAGAGGGTGATATAAATGTGGCTGTCAAGTGTATCTTTTTAGAATATATATCAGAACCAAAACAGTGTCTAACAAAAGAGTGTAATCCAATTGAGAAAATTTTTAAAATTTGGGACCCACAAAACACTATTTTCTACTATTGGTGGGGTGTTATGGTTGGGTAGTGGGTTCCCACAAGTTAAAAATAAAATTATATCTTCCAAAAAAAAAAAAAAAAAAAAAAGAACAAAGACAAAGCAACTCTCAGTGCCATCACATGACTTTATTAGTTGGAAGCTGTAAGGGTACCCCATAAGAATTGGGTGGAACCATGTTCTTAAGTACTCTCAACTTCTCAAGGTTACCCCTCCAAAAAAAATTAAAAACACAAATTCATATTAGTAATGAGATCCCTTGTTAATGCACAATTTATACTATTAATAGTTTTAATGACTTTTATAATAAATAATATAAATATTTAATATTTTGAAAGCGTATAATAAGAAGTATCATAGTTGAGTTGAATATATCTTGCCTCCAAAGAGAACATAAATAGTGTACAAATGCTACTGTCAAATGACTAAAACCTTGTTCTTTTGAGCTTTTGAGAAGAGCAGGTGTCAGTAGAGCAAAGCAAGTATCAACACAGCAGAGCAATTTATTAATCCTCAATAGAGAAGGGCTCAACAAAGCATAATAGACCACATCAGCTCAAAAGAACAGGACCTAACTCTACAAAACTTAAGGGCTTGTTCATTATCGTTTTTCGTTTTCAATTTTCAGTATTTTGGAAAAAGAAAACCAAAAACAAAAAAATAAGAAACATTTTCACTTTTCTGTTATCAATATTAAATAATCTTTATTTTAACAAGTCAAACTAATTTTTGATTCTTAATATAATGCCATATACCATATGACTTTAAAAATCCAAAATCCTATAAACGGAAAACTACAATGATACCGAATGAGTCCTAAATTTGATGGTTTCTTGTTGGGTTTTCATATTATGTTAGATGACAATCCCTACCTTTTAAAAAAAAAATGAGTAAACACTTAAGAATAGTATGAGGACAATTATATCCTTAACATGTTTGTTTACCTATATGCCCCTATTGGTACTTTATTAATTACATATAAGCTTTTCCTTGTGTAATTTAGTGATTTAACTCATATGATTAGTGTTTAGACGATTATATAAAATGTTTATTTATTTATTTGCCCTTATTAATGTTTTTTTTTAGAAAATGCCCTCGCTAATGTTTATTGCCTTTTTTTTCAACTTCTAAGAACAATGTACAGTCAACAACTGAAAGGACTCTCTAAACATAAGGCTAATTATGGCGCATACATCGCGCGCACGTTAACCACCCTAGTTATACTAAAAATTTAAGCTGATAGTTTAGAATACCATAATTGATTATACTTTGCTCGTATTGCCTAGTTATACAAAAAATATATAAGCTGATAGTTTAGAATACTATAATTGATTTTATACTTTACTCGTACTAGTATAATATAACAAAAATGATCATTTAAAAATAAATAAATACAGTATATAAATAAAGGGAAAGAAGTGAATCTTCCCAGCCACATGGGTTCCTAGTTGTGGTGTGGTGAGCTAGCTAAGCAGAAGCACAGATCCCCATGTGCCTCTTAACCTTAGCGTCATCCTCTCTCTTTCGATAGTGATTCGTCAACCACTAGTTTATACTAATATAGTACCACTCTACCTTCTTTCTTTTTTCATATCTTTCTTCAATTTCCTATATTAATACCACTACTTTTTTTCTTTGTTTATTTTGTATTTGATTTAATATGAAAGGCTAGCTAGTCACCAAAGTTGTAGGAAGGAGACCAAATTAAATTTAAACAATTGAGGTGATAATGTGTTGTTGGAGAGTATATCTCTTTGATAACATGATCACAAATTTATGACTTACAAACAAATTTCTTCTAACATCATTCAATTGAAGTATTCCCTACGTCTCTAATTATTTGTCTTTAAGTTATGTTTAACTTTACGAGAGAGAAACTTTGTTGGTGTAACAAAAAATTATGTACATGAGAAATAAGTTATCTATCTAAAATTTATTATATTGGTAACATTATTATTCCAAGATTAAAAAAAACAAAAAAAAAAAGAGGATATTGAGAATGAGGCCCTAGACAATATGAAAAATGAAATTTGTATTTTTCATTGCATACATTTTTCATGCTTATAGTAATAGCTGTATACTTGTATAATACTTGTTGTGGATATGGGGAAGGTGTTCTGTTCACCATCATGGAGGACCAACATCTTAAATCGCGGTGCAGGGAAGCCGCCACAACCCAGTTTAGCGCTGGTATGAAGAGCAAACTTTATGTTTGGGACGAAAAATAGAGTGCATTGGTGGGGCACTCAAATTAGCATTGGCGGTGAGCTATGGGAGTAGGCGAGCTAGCTCGGTGGAGAGCGCCTAGATGGGACTGAGAGTTATGTTGTGAGTACTACGTTCATGGCAAAACCTAATTAAAGGCCAGAGGAATTGTTAAGTTATTGGGAAGGGGCAATGTAGAAGATGGTGAAACAGCAATAAGCAACAACGTACTTATGATATGGTGTACAGGAAGGGTGGGTTGTGCCATTAGGGAGCTTCATCGTTAGGCGAGCATGTTAGATGTACATGTCACTTATTACGTGTTGTACGGCTCAAGTGATACGTTGCTACACGTAGAACGAGTCACTGAGCACCACAACGAAGGCATTTGTGGCTTAGGTGAGTGACTATGTCACGTGCTAACAATTTCCCCAGCTCTCCCACACAAGGCATTCATGAGGTAACACCCTATGTTTGAGTGCGGTGTGCCTATATTGATGCATGTCTTGGTGCAAGTAAGTGTTACTGTGTATCTTGCTTATAGTTGTATATAATGCTTGCCGCGCAGGTAATCTACAACATGCTCTATAAGACTAACGATACATGCTCAATCTAAAATAACTTAATGTAATGAAAAATTCTGAAGAAACAGATGTTAAGGATTGGAGTTTCACTATTGTATCGACATGCCGCATTCTTGAATAAAATATAATCTCAATACATTCTTAATTCCATTATCACCACAATTTATGTACGCTAAAATTGTCAGTGTTACTTTCACAATTTTATGATCGACAATCATCACAAAATAATGCAAAGTATATCAATTGACAATTGCTCATACATCTTTAGGCTAATTTCTTCATCTTAATTCATCAACTTATAATTTATTCTCAAGAGAATCAAACAAATTAAATTTAACCTGGAAAATTTAGATTAGATCAGACCATACCTTTTCTTAAACATCATTGTACAAATACTGTTCAAGTCAAATTTCCTATTTTACATTCTCAAGAATAGCATGCAAAAAAAAAAAAAAAAAAAAAAAAAGACATAATATTAGTGCCCAAAAGTTACCATAATTCATATGGAGTGTACAAAGCGGAGAAAAGTAATACAGATTTACCTTGCCATCACAGCAGGCATCCTCCTAAATATTTAATTGCAAGCAGCTATTCTATAGGATGTGAAAAATGCAGCAAAATTAGTGCTCTAGAAGACCATAGAGCTTAACATCATTTACAAAATTGTATATTTTTTCGCCTATCAGTGGGTTGAGGACATGCCCTTTACCCTTTTTATACGTAAAATTACACGGGGTAGCACAGCTCAGTAGCTCACCTCCTGTATGTAAATTTAAGATCCTATCAACGATAACCCTATGTATTAACTATAAGTTACAAATGCCAAAACGAGGCTAAAAAATGAATTGAATGATCGTGTTAGATGAAAACTGTAGGACGATAAGCTGCACATATGAGTAAGGGGATCACTCCAATGCATTATATCTATAGTTGGCATTTGTGTCAGCTGATAATCACATACTCTGTTTGTTAGGCTCATTGCAAGGAAATGCTATCAACCAACATGCATGCCAGCTGACTTGAAGCTGCCAGAAATATTAGGCATCTTCAATGTTGCAACAACACCAGCTGTAAGTGCAGCTAAAGAGGCCAAAACAAATGCAGGTACATTTCCTCCACCAAATAGGGCATCCCATGGCCCAGCACCAAGTGATACAATCATCTACAATCAAGCAGACATAGGTTTAGAATATACTCCTAAATTAACAGCCTTTTTCTTCCCATTCCTTTGTTCTCCCCATACCCTTTTCCACCTGTTGATTAAAGCGCCATAGGCAGCTGTTTTTGTTTGTGTGTGTGTTTGTGTTCTTTGGGGGGGGGGGGGGGGGGGTGGGTGGGGGTGAGGTGGAGGAGGGGAAAACAAAAAAACTAAACAAGGTAAAAGACAGCCATAATATATAAGCATTATTTTTCCATTCCTATTCATTATTTGTCAGCTTGAAAAAGATGATGATCACACATTTATGAAGGAAGGTTGAACACAGGCTTCTTGATTCTTATAATTTGTTTCCCTTTTATTTCTCTACTAGATTAGGTCCTGTGCCATGCAAGGTAATTAATTTCACTATTGTTTATAATTCAACACAAAATTTTTAAAAAACAAAAAATAAAATATTTTGTATAATGCATGTGGACAAAATATATAACCATAGTATTTTTTATTTTTTTTTTGTATATAATGAAATGAAACATGAAATATAATGACGACAGAGTAATTAGACAAATAAGTTTAAAATTTTAATGATAAACTGAAATCGTTTTTCTTATTATTAACTAAATAATTAAGTATTTTAAAATTGTATATTAAACACTATGGGATTGTAACATAATAATTACTACAGTGTATTTGATACAATTTAGGATAGTGGAAAACATATCTAATTTCTCGTGCTTTTGATATACATAAATAACTAAAAATTAAAATTATGCTATTAGGAAGCCGTTTCCTAATAAGAAATTAAAACATTTTGAAATTTCTAAATAGAGAATATATGAATAACAAAAGAAGACTTAGGGAATAATAATAATAGTAATAGTAATAATCAAGTATGAATCAATTATTTCTAAAACGCATACTTTTTTTTTTTGTTACAAAATTACTGCATATATAATATATTGAAGATTTGATTTCTCAAAAAAAAAATATATATATATATATATATATATATATATATATATATATATATATATATATATATATATATATTGAAGATTTGAAGGAATAAAATACTGCATAGGGATTAGGAAATAATATATACTCCATATATACAAAGTAATAGACGTTAGAATAGTATTTTATGGAAAATATGTGAATCACAAATATATATTTTGTTTAAGTAAGTGAATGATTTGGTGAATATTTTTAGTATATTTTACAATAAATAGTTGACGTCTCCGTGGAAAAAAACTTAGAGGAAAAACAGTACCAAATTGTGACACGTGTTATTTCTAGAGTCGATTTCTTTCTAGTGTCTGTTTTAATATTACATTATAGATATATATACAATAAAAGATATGGAAAATATGTGAATCACAAATATATATATTTTTATTATGAAAGTGAATCACAATCAAATGATTTGATGAATATATATAAAGTATATATACAATAAAAAGTAAAAAAAAGAGAAAACAGTTTTGGAGGGAAAATACAACACCAGGAAGTGACACGTGTCATTCATGGTGTCTGTTTTAGTATTATGTTATTGATTGATTTGCCTGACCAACTTGCTGTGATAAGTTTAATAAGATAACTCAAATCCTTAAGTCTAATAATATAGATATACTAAATTTAAAAGTATGCAGTGAAGGCTACTCGTATATGATTTCATAAAATTAGGAAACATGAAACTGCAAAATTAAAACCTTTTTTTTTTTTTTTTTTTTGCTGCAATTAACAAATAAATGCAAATAAAGTTGATGACAATATTCACCTCTTAAGATCATGTGACTCCATGAAGAAAAACTTATCAGCTATTATTTAAAATAAAATTTCCAGCCAAGTTTCCAAGTAGACACAAAAGCATGATATTCATGAGAGATTTCGGTGATCATAGATTATAATTAGGAAAAGCAACTAATTCACAAGGGTGATTTTATTTCTAATTTCTCTCGAATTAACACGTGCAAACAAATAATACCTCCATTTCATAATGGTTTTAACATATCCCCTTTTATTTGATTTAATAATGTTATTAACATATCTACTTTATTCCATATTTAGTAAACCCCTTTTACTACCTTACTCTTCTTACCCCACAATATTTACGCCTTCCACTCTCTCTTACTTTATTCACGTTTTTCCTACACGGCTACACCCACCCTCTTTTTCCCTCACTCTTTAACTATATCTACCTTTTTCTTAGTTCTTACACACCCATCGTTTTTACATTCTTTCCTTTGCCTTAATTCTTGTGCAAACAGTAAATGTTAAAAACATCATGAAACGGAGTTAGTATAACTGTATAGCTACTTTAGGGCTTGGTACAAAACTAAGCTTATCCATCTGGATAAGTATAGAATGAAGGAGAAACTGACCAAACAATGCAAATTACCTGAGGGACAACAATTGCAAGATTCAGAACTCCAAGTGCCAATCCTACATAAATATAAATAATTCAGAGTGAAAAAGTAGGCATCAAAGCTAATAGTTATAACATGAGAGACAACCTGTTAGACATACCTTGACCACCTCCAGAATCGGCAGTCACTGAGGCAGTGACAGAATAGGGTACACTATAAGTTATCTGGCATGTAGGGGAGATTCATAGGAGAGATTACTATACAACATTAGCCAAATAAACTTCTCTTTTAAAGATGATAAATAAATTCAATTAATCCAGGAAAACGTGGTCTTACAGAGAGAGGGAAACCAAGAATGGCAAATATAACTAGGGCTGCAATCCTGGTTGATGAGTTTTCTCCAATCACATGTTCTACACCTTGGGAGTAACTTTTGAGAGAAACAAAACTGATCACAGCAATGCTTGCCATGCAGATGAATACAATAAAATTGCTCAAAGCCCACACAGCTTTAGTCCCCATATGCCGGCACATAGGTTCAATTAAAAAAGAGCCAACACCAAGGACAACCTACAAAATTGCAAATGGAACAAAACTATAAGCTTTCACTAGAAAGGGGGTAAAAAAAAAAAAAAGGGCCCAAACATTATTATTTTCCATAAATAAACACCAATAACATATATAAATGTCACAAAATTAAGTGCATTAGCCAGAGAGAGCAAATGTTAACATGTTTAGCTCTTACTGAATTGAGAAGCAATCCAACAGCACCTTCTCTGACACCTTGATCGTAGGCTTTTACTTTAGAGGCATTTCCAACAGGGTCCCCATGATAGACTTCTCTTCCCATCCAATCAGTATCAAAAAGCAAAAAGGGAAACCAGGAAACCTGCATACCAGAGTAGAGTAAATTTATCGGGGAACTCTATGATCCACTGTAAATATAATGTCATTCTATTTCACCCTCACATATTTAACCTACTATACAGGAAATTTTTTATCCGAAACTACTTTTTTTTTAAAAAAAATGTTAAGAAAATAAAGAGATTTGTCACCCCCCCCCCTCTTTTATTTTATTTTTTATTTATTTTTTTTTTTTGAGGCGGGGGGGGGGGGGGGGGAGAGGAGTAGCACCTTATGCCGGAGGCATTTCAACCAAATCTACAGCCGAATAAAGAGGAAGGGTATTTAAAAGAGTTTGGTTACTTACAAATCTCTTTTTCTAGTACTTTTTAAGTAAAAGAAAATACTTCAAATAGCCTACAACAAGAAAAAGCCTGAGGCTAAAAACTGCAAAGGAACCTTTTTTTCCAATATATGCGTTAGGGGAGTAAAGACAGGGGGTGGGGGTGGTAAGTGCAACATGAAACCTTAGGGGCCTAGCCCCATATCAGATCAAACCTAAACCAGTAAGAACACTCCTTCTGGATTGCCCTAGTTCATTACAGAGGTAATAGAACAATGCACTATGCTATTTCAATGTTTATTAAGTGTAATTTGAAATTCCCACAATTTCATAATATGAGTTGCTCGCAATTTTCAAGCTCCTACTGATAACACCCATAACATGATATAATTTATAAGAAATACTATTATGAAAGTACTTGTACAAAGAATTGTAGCAATTATATATACTTCCTCTGTTCTTTTTTACTTGACCTGTTTCTTTTATCACGCTTGCCAATGCAAAACTTTAACGATTAGTAACTTTAATTCTCCACAAGTAAAAATTATAAATGTTATATATTATGATAATACTTATTGAGACAAATTCAAAAAGATCCCACATGAATATGTTTTTCCTTACATATATACTTTTTTTTTAAAAAAAAAATTGTTCCATTGCAAATCCAAAATAACTATCTATTTCATATGCTTAAATAGCAAACGGTGGTCAAAGTGAAGTGTATGAATAGTGTCAAACTCAAAAGTAAAAAACGGAACAACTAAATTTAGAGAGAAATAATTGTCAAAGTTCGTGTTTATAACTATTGACCCATATTAATATTTAATGGACGGCTATGTAGATTGGAGGGTATAAAAAAGAGGAATATTTCAAGAATGAAATATTGAAAGACTTGTTGACTTCTTTGTTGTTCTGTATAATTTGATTAAAAAAAAAACGAAGTTGACAAGTTAAATTTCTGTAACTCTACTTGTCCAAAGAAGTCAACAAGTATTTCGATATTTCATGATTTTCAACTTTGATTATTTTTGGATAGAAGGTAAACCTTTCTTCGATTGAGCAACATATTTTTTGTTATTTTGTTAAACCGTAAACTGACTGATTTTTCTACATATCTTTCCCCATGGTTATGCTTGACAGAGACCTAAAATATATACAGACAAGTTTAAAGACACACAAGTGGCAACAGAGCTAGAAATACTTTTGACAAGGCCATTTTCTCAACCTCGTCAAATAAATAGGATTTAGAAAATAAAAGTAATATTAAAAAGTAGGGAAAGCATACCCAAGTGAGAGCTGTTACAATAAGCACTGAATGCATTGCAGGTGGTAGATGTCTTAAGCTAGTCAACAACTTGACCATAACAGCTCCAGGTCCGTCATTAAAACCTTTATCATGATTTTCTTCATTCCTTTCACCATTCTCAGTGTAAGGCAGCGAATTACTATCATGGAGCTTTGAATTAGAAAGTTCAGTTGACAGCTGTTGAGAGTCATCTAGTAATGGAGCAGAATCTGATAGTCTCTGAGATGGACCTGCATCAAGGGGAACTTCTTCGGCGAAGTAAAGAGTTACAAGTGTACATAACGTCAAGAAGACCTGTATTCATCACATATGAAACCTTTTGAGTCTGCCTATAGCATAGAATAGCAATTATATAAATGGATCAGTGGCAATTTTCTTAAATTATGGTGTATAGTACAATCAGGACTATAAAAGTGCTTGTCAATAACTCAACATAAAGGCAATGCCTTGAATTCTTGTGGAAGCTGGAGGGATATAGAAAGGTTTTATATGTAGGCAATGAAAATCATGTCAGAAGTTCAACAGTACAGCACATTTACTAAACTTTTCTTCTCTCTCTTGCACTCTCTTAAATTTTCTGTTCTTTCCTCCCTCAATCCTCTAATTGCCATTGTTTTGAATAAAGAGAGGGAGAGAGACAGATAAAGAAAAAGCACGATATATGCATAACAATAACAAAAACCCATATAGCTCCTCCTGGTAAGTTGGAGGAAGAGTAACATGCATATGATCTTACAAGTAGTCGTTGGTTGCGATTGCAGTGTTACCATAGACTACTAGAAGCAGTATCCAACATGTGTTCATTTATATTTTGCTAATTAAGTATATATACTTCTCAACACCTCTATCTTTTTTTCTTTTTGAAGAAATTAACGAATCTCAATAAGTAGTTACCCAACTAAGACCAAATTTCCATGTATGGGGAGACTGAGAAAATAAAATAACAGCCTTTAACTAATGTCATGTGAATCCCACAAGAATTTGGTCAGACCCACCAGACAAGCACAGTACTGCTTTCAGGACATCATGAATAGCAACAAACAGAGATAAAATCCTCACTCTAATCAAATTATGAAAATGGAAAAAGCACCATCAAGACACAAAAAGGGTGTGCAATCAACGAAGTTTATCTCAATGGTTCAACGTTCGAATAAGAACAATAGGAAACATACTATCCAGCCCATTGCTGAGGAGATGGATTGCTTGCAGAACCACACAAACATCATGAAAGACCCTAAAAGGATAAAGAAATTGTAAGGGGATACTAGAGAGGCACAAACAAAGTAGAGCATTGTGAAATAAGCTCTCAAACCCATAACACTTTATAGCGAACTTCACAAATCTCAACCAGCAAATGCTAAAAGAAATATACCTAGAATTAACCCAAACCCTAGAAAATGACAGGGAAAATGAGCTGGAGATCTTCTTTTTAGAGAGTTAGAAAATGTTAGTCATATTCATGGGAATAAGAAGATTTTGATTAAAGGATGTAAGTGAAGAATATATTGCAGTAGAGTTCATAGGCAAAATTTTAAAAGATTCAATTATTCAATCAATAAGAGTTAATTGCAGTAGCTACTTTAGAGGTGTTGGGCTCAACTCCAGGATATTTCAAGCATGAGAGTAGTAAAGGTTTGTCCCTTGTTTTTATTTATTATTAACAGGTAAGATGGGACTATGGGAGGAGAAAAGATGTAGGTGAAGGGTTTATTGCAGTAGAGTTCATAGGCAAAATTTTACTACCTCCGTAACATATTAGTTGCAACTTTGGAATATTTTATCTCTCAAAAATATTACCCAAAGTTGCAACTAATATGTAACGGAGGTAGTATATGACTCAATGGTTCAATCATTAAGAGTTAATTGCAGTAGCTACTTTAAAGGTGTTGGGCTCAATTCCAGGGTATTTCACTTTTTCAAGCATGAGAGTAATAAAGTTTGTCCCTTGTTTTTTATTTATTATTAACAGGTTAGATGGGAGGAGAAAGGGAGTAATATGGAGCTGATATATATGATAAATAAAAAATTAAGAGCCAATCAAGAGTAACACATGTATTGGTTGCCTGCTTAATAGTTTAGTGTAGGTCACTAGACAGTTATGAGAAGATAAGATTTGGGATAATGCAAAGAAGAGCAGTTATAATTGGGATCATTATTGTCAAATATAGATAATCAATTCAGGAACAAGCTCAAATACCTATCAGAAAAGATTACGACCTCCAATAAGATATTATACCAACATAACATTAGCTTGGTTTCCCACTGTTCACCATTATTGAGCCAAATTAAGATACTAACATAAAAATGAAAACAGCATCACCAGACATCCATACTTGTCTTATTACCCAGCATCATTTTCCAAGCGCAATCCAAACATACCCTTGATCCCTTCTTCCTTTTCCATCAAGTTTCCCACATGAGACAGAGATGAAAGGCCTGCCTAATTGATGTAAGCAAGCTCCTAACGATCTAACCTTAACAACAACCCATTTTCCCTCAGGGGTAATAATTATAAGGCATGATCGTGGATTTGAGGTGGTTCACTGTTCAGCAGCAGCAATAGAGTCCCAGCAGGGAGAAAGAGCTTAGACCTTCCTCTTTTCATTTTTTTTTTCTCAGTTCATCTATTTAAATACTACAGAAGCAACCGAACATCTTTAAAAAGGATCAGGGTAGGGTGCATAATCCTCAGCAAGTTACCCCCAAACATCTTGGAATAGTTTCAATTTCACAAAGTATGGTTATAAAATCGAATTCTATCAGCACAATAGCACCAAAAGCACTGCCAATCAAATTAAGGTCACAAAATGATAGCAGCTAACAACAGGAAACTCCCTTACTTATTCCCTCAATCAAATAGGTTACAGGGAAAATTGGAAATGGAATAGTTTATGCATACCTGCATGAGATATCTTGATGCATAAAAAACCAACATATCTTTGAGAGTTGTCAAGAAGCAATGCTAATAGAAAGTTAGAAGTTCTCAGTCATATCATGATGCAAGCAACATTGTTCTGTAGGTGACTAACAACATAACTTATACATGCATTATTCTCCAACAGGAAATTTAAAGACAAATGGATATAGAGGAAAAGGTTACAAGTTTACAGCAAACACAAGCAGATAAGATAACAAAACTGGCATACTGAACAGACTGACAAAATTAAGCTTCATGCAAGAAGATAAGCTATAATGAATTAATGATAGATCATTTCAACAACAACAACAAAATTAAAAAGAAAGAAAGAAAGAAAGAAAGAAAAGTAATGATAGACAATGAATAAATCTTGGAAGAACATATTCAAAGTACAAGGACATTCACAGAGATAACATAACGACATACAGAAATAAGCAATAAGATAAGTAAGAGAACCACAACCTACCACTGCAATCAGAAATGCTGCTTTCAAATTTCCACAAGCTTCACAGCAAGCACGGTTTGTCAGAAATGGGAACCACCTGCACATAATTACAGTACCAAAACAAACATTAGAAATAACTATGTAAAATAAAGTAAATTTAAAGTGAAAGGAGAAGCAACAGTGGCATCTAAACCTCATATAATTACCAGTAAGAGGAAATCGGATATATCCTCCAAAATCCAAACACGCAAAATGAGTAAGAAAACTTTTTGAATGTAATCAGGCTAAAGTTTGTTGTTTCTAAAGGAAGGGATAGAAGGAATGAGGGAAGAAAAGATGGAATGGAAGTTCAGAGAATTTTGAAATCAAGAGATTAAGACAGCCAGAGTCTGAAAGAGGGCTTCCATAAGTTCCATTATAGAACTGATATTTTCCTTGTTTCTACCTCCTCTACAATGCCAAATTTAAGGACAACCTATCTTCTTACTATACTCGTTTTCTTTCTTCTCTAATAACATTTCTTTTTGTCTTCAACCTTACATTGTCAATATAGAAAACAATATTCCTCCTAACAAAGTTTTATACAAGTATAATAAATTAAATACTAAACAGTTCAACTAGACAGATGAAAAGTAAGATTAAAAAATGCAGCAGTTATGATACTCACAAAATATCCTTCACTATGGTAGAAAATCTCAGGGTTGAATGATGAGGCATGAGACCCTCATTAGTCAATATCAATCCATTAAATATCTCTGAGAAAAAAATTCTCAGGCCTAAAGTAATTTGGATCCTAATATGCAAAAACCTCCAAAAAAATTAAAACCTTACTTGTGCCAATTTCCACTAGCACCTGATAAGAACCCCAAAATGTTACCGACAGCCATCCAGGAGGCAAACACGGCATTCGCAGCATTCCGCTGTTCAGGTCCTAGAATCACAAGAACACTAGTAAACATCATAATGTACATAAGCAACTGCACAAAGAGCATAACCACAATAGTAACAAGGAGGTTAATGTGAACTTGTGAAGAGATAGATCACCTGATAAATCAGCCAAAAGAGCTCGAGCTGGGCCCTGCAAATCAAAATGCTAAGTAACATATAGGTCATAGAAGATAGAACTAGTCTATTGATCCAAGTTAGATAACTAACCTGCACAGTATTATTAGCAAGATCCAACATCCAAAAACCAACAACAAATGTGATAGTTGCCATTGTTCGAGTACCTTTGAATGTACTGCCAATGAGTGAATAAAAAGGGATCAAGAAACAAAAAGGAAAGGAAAAAAAAATATGGCAAACAGACAACAATAAATAGTAGCAACCTGCAGTGCTCCTTGGTGTCTCCTAACAGATATCCAATGTCTGCAGAAAAGCCTATTATTATGACCTAAAGTAAAAGACTTAAATTCAGCAGTTACATAACAATAAACACACAAAGATTTCTATGAATAACAAACATAAATCTACAAGTGCTCACAGCAGCAGAGATCATGAGGGATCCAGCAAGAATAAAGGGCCGCCTTCTGCCATATTTAGAAGTGCATTTGTCACTCCAGATACCAACACATGGTTGAACCTGAAACAAGATTGCATTGAAATTTGGTAGAATGAGACAAGATGCATGTCATATCACAGCTCTTTTAAACACAACTGAAACTGATCCATGCAAATAAGCACCAAATTCAAGTAATCAACATTACTCCAAGAAAAAAGTAGTTATAAGATTCCAGCAAGCTTAACTCTACTCAATTAATTCATATCCATCACCATTGTCACTCTGATACAATCTATAACAGTGTTGCAGACTGATAAGAAGATAGGATTGCTGATTGTGTACATTAAAATCGCCTAAAACAAAGAAGACGAACTTTAAGGTGCCTCTAGGTGAATAGATGATGAGAGGAAGATCCCGTGTTTACCATGCTTCAGTTTCCCAATAACAAAAGCTAGAGTATGATGCATCAATGCACGTGTTAGCCTCATACTAGGGATGGCAATTTAGTTCGAAACCGACCTGATCTATCAATCAATCAAAGCCTTAATCCCATAAGTGGGGTGAAACCGATCTGATCTGAATTCGAGAATAAGTAGTCCAAATCCAAGTCTGCCAAAATAAAGTCCAACTCAGAATGGGAGGCAGATCAGATTCAGATCTTGTGTAGGGTTCGACTTGAGTGATCCGAGTCACACTCATTTGAAGATTTGTGTTTATCTTTTTGTTACATCTAACTCCATATAAAAATATGAAACAAAAAAACCTAAATACCTATATGCATCTTTTCCCCAAGCAGTCGCCACCCTCCACTTTCTTTGCTTCATCTCCTATTCACCCAAGTAATCTCTCTCTCTCACCTCTCAGCACCTCATTTTCATAATTTCTCACAACAATCCTAGAGAACAAGAATCTCTAGAATTATGTATTCCATTGCTGGACTCTGACTCACACTCCTTTTCAAGAAGGAATTATATATGAACTTGAAGATACAAGAGGTCACCACTACTTAACAATTGAGGTAGTAAAATTGTAACAAGTTTCCTTAAAGAGTTAAGGAGAAAAGTCATCAATCGATCATCATATTCAAAGGACTTTCTTGGCCTTCTTGTTGCTTTTTTTTTAGATTCTTTTTATGTTATATAATTTCATAGTTTGTATTATATTTAAAAAAAAAAATAATGCTTTGGTTTTGTCAATTTATAAGGATGGATATCATTTATATAATTTTGTTTGTTGTTATAATTGTTAATGATGCTAGTCAACTGGATTCGAATTCAGAGGTCCGACAATTTGGAGATCCGTGTATTTGGCGGGTTCGGACACAGGGAAGGCTGGTCTGGACTCAGATCCGAATCCAACCCGTTGCCATTCCTACCTCATACTATGTTTCAAAGTACGCAAACAATTTGACAACAGGAATTATCAAAGGTGTAAGATAAAGAGGTTGACGAGGGACCTTTTGTGGGCTGGGGCTGATGATGTTTAAAAGAATCATAATCTTAGATGGGATTTAGCGAGTCGTCCAACAGCAAAGCAAAGAGGCACTGGTTTTATTTGGAGAGATTTCATCAGCGAGGAAATGGTGGTAACAGTTCCCACTTGAACTTCAATCTCTATGGTGTAATGTAACCAAGAGTATGGATTATGTCAAGAGACCCAAATAGGTGGGATGTTAAGCTGTCTAGATGACTCATAATCAATCAAAGCCTTAATTCTATAAATGGGGTGGCTACATGAACCAAAAGTGATTATTCCATATAGTCATCCACAAAAATCTTCCTCCTTCATCCCTTACGATAAAATACCCCATTCTCATGCAAATCCATATGCTTCATATCTTTCCTAACTCCTTCCAACCAAGTCATTTTCGGTTTCCCTCTACCTCGTTTTACCTCTCCATGATCCTACTCTTCTACTCTTCGTACGGGTCTCGTCTTACATGCCCTAACCAACGCAGGCGATTTTCCCTTAGTTTGTCTGCAATGCTTGCAACACCCACTTTCTTGCAAATAACTTTATTTCGGATTCCATCTCTTAGAGTGTTCCCGCACATCCATCTTAACATGCGCATTCCCGTAACCTTCATCTTTTTAATGTACTCCTTCTTAGAGGCCCAACATTTTGTACGGTAGAGCGGCACTTGTCTTATAGCGGTCCTATAAAATTTCCTTTTCAACTGTAAAGAAATGATTCGGTCACATAACACTCCCCGACTGCTTAATCCTATGGGCCACGTCTTGATCAATTTCACTATTCTTCTTGATAATCGACCAAAACATTTAAAACACTCACTCATGGTCAAATCCTTTCCGTCCAAACTCACTACATCATCATTTGTCCCCTTTTGTGTACCAAAGTGGCATACTAAATATTCAGTCTTACTCCAACTTAGCTTAAACCCTCTAGATTCCAACATTTGCCTCTACTGCTCCAATTTGGCATTAGCCTCATCTTTAGTTTTATCCACCAAAACGATATCATACGCAAACAATATATACCATGGAAACTCATCCTGTATTCGCCTGGTTACTTCATCGAGAACCTTGCAAAAAAGAAAAGGGCTTAACTCATACCCTTGATGCAATCCAATTGTAATAAGAAAATCTTTTGCCAACCCTTTACATGTCCTCACATTTGTTGACACGTCCCCATAAATATCCTTTTCTAGGTCCACGTACCTTCGTGGGAAACCTTTCTTTAACATTGCCCACCAAAGTACCTCTTTTGGCACTTTGTCATATGCCTTCTCTAAATCAATAAAAAATAACATATAGAGGTCTTTCTTCTTTACCCTATAAAACTCCATCATTTGTCTTATCATATGGATTGCTTCCATAGTAGATCTCCCGGGCATATAACCAAATTGGTTATCCAAAATGCTTCTTTAGCCCATAAAACTCATAATCATTCAATCAAAGCCTTAATCCCATAAGTGGGGTGACTGTGGTCGGCTACATGAACCAAAACAGATTATTCCGTATAGTCATCTACAAAAACCTTCCTCCTCCATCCCTTACGATCAAATGTCTCATATTAATGCAAATCCATATATTCCATATCCTTCCGAACTCCTTCCAACCAAGTCATTTTTGGTCTCCCTATCCCTCGTTTAACCCCTCCATGGTCCCACTCTTCCACTCTTCATAGCGGTGCACCCTCGGGTCTCCATTTTACACCCCTCCATAAAACTCATAATCAACTCTGGAAATTCAGTTGTTTCTACTTTTTCATTCCTTTGGTAAGGTTCAAGAACAGGGATAGACAACATAATCCTTATTGGGAGGATGTTTGGACAAGAGAGCACACATTTCGTGACTATTACCCACATTTTTCTAATTTTATCCGACCTACGTAACGCTTGTGTGTCAGGTTGTTTATTATGAGATTACTTGGGAATTACATTTTAGGAAACCACCATATTACCCCATTATCAAGAGCTTAAGGTGCTCTCCATTGTAACCTTTAGACTATACAGCTAACGCATGTGCTTGCCAAAAAAAAAAAAAAAAAAGAAAAAAAAAAAAACACTAACGGATGTGGGGATTCTAGGGTGTGGATGGGAGATTCTTCACAAGATTTTTCTTGTATATCTGTTAGCTAATCTCATGGAAGGCAATGAGTTGCCCGCCTTCATCTCAACGTTAGCTTTTGGAAGTTTTAGTAGATTCTACTGTTTTATTTGAGCACAATTATTTTACTGACCATATGTTGCAGCTAATGAAACATAGGTTTTAAGTAATTATTCATTTACCAACTATAAAATCCACTCACATTAGGATTGGTTTGGTCAGATTAAGCTGAAACAATACTTAAAGTAATCAATAAAAAGGATGTTAACTTTTCTTTTTTTTAAATGCAGTCTCCGTAACCCGTTCCATTCAGCCGGCATCCCCAACAACGCAGTTGTGTCCGCATATATGTGAAGCAGCTATTCTATCTTAATGGTGCTTTTGGAGGTAGAGAGTAACGAATGCTTCAGATATAGTAGGCTCTTTAGAGCATGTTTGATAATTATTAGCCTCTCCTATCTCGAGATCAACTAAAACTGCATTGCTTACACTACCACTGTGGGGTGAAAATACAACAACATTACATAGAAAAAGAGCAGGCAAATCAAGATAGATAAGAAACCAAAGAAAAGTCTTACAAAACAAAGACTTACCACAAGACCTGTGATAGGGCCACAAAGCCAAATAAATGAAGAAAATGCATGTCCTATTCCAAGTGTCTGCAAAAGATGGTGAAACCAGCAGCGTTAAGCTAGTATTATTTGGCTTAACAATTAATATGAAGCAAAAATACTATAAATCAAAAACTCAAAGCACGCCATCAGAAAGGTGCAGGGAAGTCCACATAATCACCCCCCTAAGGCCCTAACCACTGTGAACCGACTCTTGCTTAAATGGCCATCAGGTTAAACAACATGATAGAATTTTTCTTTAATTTTCACTTGTACTTCTTGACTACCAAAACACTTCCTTGAGTTGATATGATGAAGAATATCTGACTGTTCTCACCATTGCCTAGGATGATAGACTGTAATAGACAAAAACTGACAAGATTTCACAACTAGACCCAAACCCAAAACAAAATTAGCGGGTTCGGGTCCAGCATATTGATCCATCTAAGTAAATAAAATGGCATGAAAAGTCCATTAAATTAATTGGGTTGGGGATAGAATTTGAAACATAAACTTCATTGCTACTGCAACTTTTTCAACAGAGTCACATGACTCCATACCAGTTCTCCAATCAGTTTCGAAACCCAGTCAGCTAGCCTCATCCAAATCTATAGTTTTACTAAATATTGTTTCCTTGTGTCTTAACACAAAACCGAAAACACGACATCATAAGAAGACCAACCAAACAATAAATTGTGCAACCATAATGTTAGCATAACTGTTGTGCGACAGCGGAAGCAAAGGTCGTAAACAAACAAGAAAACAATAAAGAAATTCAATGCAAACAATAAGAACAACACCAAGAATTTACGTGGTTCACTATCGATGTGATAGCTACGTCCACGGGCACCGAGATCGAATGATTTCACTATAAACTGCAAAGATTACAAAGATGATTCTTGTATTTCTCAAGAACGGCTCTCACTCTGTCTCTCTTAACCCTAATACTGATATTAGGGAGGTTTTATATTAATCCCTAATTAAAAGATACTTGGGCAAAAAGATAATAAAATAAGATAACCTAAAACCGCAAAATCCGCGTTCCGTATTTTTCCTTCTCCGCCCGGTCAGACCGGGCAAGGTCTGCCCGATCGGGCGCGAGAAGAAAACTCCATACGAATGCTTCAACGTATCCAACCCCCACCGCCCGGTCAGACCGGGCAAGGTCTGCCCGATCGGGCGAAGGCTCGCCCGGTCGGGCGAAGGCTCGCCCGGTCGGGCGCGAGAGCAGCTTCTTCAACGAATTTGCCAGGCACCTCTTCTTCTTCCGCCCGGTCAGACCGGGCAATGTCCGCCCGATCGGGCGGACAAAGCTACGAAGTACGAGTCACCTAATATACTTATCAACAATCTCCACCTTGACGAGAACTCGTAGTCAGCAAACGACCCCATCAAGACATAGTGAAAAAACATCTCAAGCCAAACCCGATGCAAGACTCATGCATAAGCCATACATCCCGATAAGTCTTCAACCAAGACCCATCACATACTCGTCTCCAAGTATAACAACTCATAATGCTCCACCTGCATCACAAGCCCCGGGCAAGCTCCACCTTAAGGCCAACACACCTACACCAGGAGCTCCCCAACTTCGCCCCTCAGGGCCTACTACATCACGTAGTAATCAATATTTAACAAGTCTAAGCAATGTTTAAACTTGCTAAACGGAACAGGCTTAGTGAAGAAATCAGCCGGGTTGTCAGCAGTCCCAATCTTCTTCACCTTAATCCTCTTGTCAGTACGTAAGAAATGATACCTGACATCAATGTGCTTCGTCCGATCATGGTGTACTTGATCTTTAGCTAAGCAAATCGCACTTAGACTATCACAATACACTGTAGCAAAATCCTGTGCAATACCCAGTTCACCTACTAGGCCTTTGAGCCAAATAGACTCCTTAGCTGCAGAAGTTAAAGCCATATACTCAGCTTCAGTAGTTGACAACGTAACTGATGACTGCAATGTAGACTTCCAACTAACCACAGAACCACCCAAAGTGAACACATAACCAGTCACAGACCTCCTGGTATCCACATCAGCTGCATAATCAGAATCACTGTACCCAGTGACCAAGCATTCCTTATCATTCCCGTACACAAGACCAATATCAGCTGTCCCTCTCAGGTAGCGAAAAATCCTTTTCACCCCTTGCCAGTGTTCCCTCCCAGGTCGAGCCATAAACCTGCTTACAACACTAACAGCATGCGCAATATCCGGCCTAGTACAGACCATAGCATACATCAAACAACCAACCGCGTTTGCATATGGAACTCTAGACATATAAGACAACTCCTCCTCTGATTGAGGTGACATAGACAAAGACAACTTACAACTAACAGTAGTTGGCGTACTTATAGGCTTCGATTTTTCCATCCCAAAACGAGACAGAATCTTTTCAATGTAGCTTTTCTGAGTCAAGAAAAGCTTACCTCTAGCCCGATCCCTGTAGATCTCCATACCCAAAATCTTCCTAGCTGCACCCAAGTCTTTCATGTCAAACTCCGAGTTAAGCATCTCCTTTAATCTTTTGTACCACTGTCGGGGGGATTGCTTAAGTCCATACAATGACTTTAGCAATCTGCAGGCATAGTGTTCCTTTCCAGGAGCTTCGAATCCTTCGGGCTGCTTCATCAGAATCTCCTCCTCCAAATCGCCATGAAGGAAGGCCGTTTTAACATCCAACTGCTCCAGCTCAAGATCAAAATGTGCTACAATTGACAATAACACACGGATAGAAGTATGTCGAACCACAGGTGAGAATATCTCAACAAAGTCAACCCCTTCTACCTGACTGAACCCCTTAGCAACTAGCCTAGCCTTAAAACGTATTTGCTCAGTTTCCGACAACCCTTCTTTCTTCTTGTAAATCCATTTACAACCCACAAGCTTCCTCCCTTCCGGTACCTTTACCAGTTCCCACACTCTGTTCTTGTAAAGGGACTGCATCTCTTCACCCATTGCGGCAAGCCATTGCGCAGACTCACTACAACTAATTGCTTGTTTATATGTGGCAGGTTCAAATGACTCTACATCATCAGCTACACTCAATGCATAACCTGTCATCGCATCAACACAGCAATTTCTTCCCTCCATCTCTTCAATCAATCTAACAGGCTTCTTGATAACTCGTTTAGGCATCTCAAGAATGGTGTCAGGTTGACTAGATGACCCCTGATTAGATTGCTCCACCTCATCCCCAGAGTTAGAATGAGTAGGAGTAATCTCAGGTTCAGGAGTACCCGGCACTGGAACATCAGCATCATCATCAATATATTGTACCCGAGGTAAATCAGCAATGGTAGACTGATGTACCTCAAGTACCCCATCTGTCTGTAATAAATTGTCTCCTTCCCTTCTCAAATCTGAAATCTCTGCATTTTTAATTGAATACATGGTGTTTTCATCGAAAGTAACATCCCTACTAAGAATGACCCGACCCTCCGAAGGTGAAAAAATTCTAAACCCCTTCACACCATCCCCGTACCCAACAAAACACCCCTTCTTGGCTCGTGGATCCAGCTTACCCTCAATAACATGATAATAAGCAACACAACCAAAAATCTTCAAATTCGAAAAATTAGGCAACTTACCACTCCAGATCTCAAACGGAATTTTGGAATCAATTCCAGAATGAGGACCCCTATTAATGACATAACAAGCTGTTAACACAGCTTCACTCCAGTACCTCCTCCCAAGCCCTGCATTAGAGAGCATGCATCGAACTCTCTCTAGCAGTGTCTGATTAACCCGTTCTGCTACACCGTTCTGCTGTGGTGTCTTCCTGACAGTATGATGCCGACCTATACCCTCATCTGCACAGAACTGATTAAACTCGTCTTTGCAAAACTCTAGCCCATTGTCCGTTCGTAGCTTCTTGATCTTCCTTCCTTGTCGATTTTCCACCAAAGCTTTCCATTGCTTGAAAACTTTGAAGGCCTCATCCTTTGACTTAAGCAACCTAAGCCATGTGTATCGGGACTTGTCATCAACAAATGACACAAAATAGTGGTAACCTCCCATACCTTCAACTCTAGATGGACCCCAGCAATCTGAATGGATGTAATCGAGCACTGCATCAGTAATGTGAGCACCCTTGCTGAACTTTGACCTGTGTTTCTTACCAAACACACAATGCTCACAAAATTCAAGGTTGGCAACCTTGACCCCGGATAGAAGACCCCTCTTGGACAATAGCTGCATCCCCTTCTCCCCCATATGACCAAGCCTCATGTGCCAAATCTTAGTCATCTCCTGGTGAGATACAGATGCGCAAACCGCAGAACTAGGCAGTGTAACACCCTCAAAAACATAGAGGGTGTTCCTTTTGATACCCTTAAGTACCAACTCAGAACCTCTGAAAATACACAACTCCCCATCTGAAAACACACCATTGTACCCCAATTCATCCAGGGTACCCAATGAAATCAGATTCTTTCCTAAAGCAGGAACATGCCGTACATTAGTCAAAGTTAACCTCCGCCCATCAACAGTCCTCAACCTCATGGAACCAATACCTGTGACCTTACATGGAGCATTGTTACCGACTATAACCATACCCCCATTGCGAGGTTCATATGTATCAAACCAATCTCGACGTGGACACATATGGAACGAACACCCCGAATCTAGAACCCAGTTATCAGATAAATCATCAGACCTAGCAGAACTGACTAATGCTAAATCTTCCTCTGAATTATAGCTCTCATTCGGTTTCTCTTCAACTACAGCAGCCTGGGACTTGTTTTTCCTCACCGGACAATTATTCCTAAAGTGACCCGGTTCTTTACAGTAATAACATGTTTTAGTAGTAGTTTTACTAGATCCATCCTTGCCGTTTCCAGCACCCGACCCAGCATTGTTCCCCTTGTTAAAACCCCTTATTCTTTTTAGACTTTCCGGACTTAACAAATAACCCACTACCATTATCCCCATTAATCACTCGTAGCTTTCATTCTGAGTTCCCTAGTATGAAGTGCTGCCTTCACTTCTTCTAAGGTTATAGAATCCTTACCAACAACAAAAGACTCTACAAAATTCTCAAAGCTAGA